TCTTTCATCATAAATTGTCTGTCGGCGCCAATTTCTCTTGTTTTCGTTGTGCTTCAAAATGTTTCATAAAAAAACTAACGATGGCCGCTATTTATCCCAGCGTCAGTGGTACCTCATCAATGCAGTTAAATGCATAAATGGTAAAAAAAAGAAGGACTGCATTAGTTAGTGTCAGGTAAATGGATTGTTGGGACAATTTCGGGTTTGCAAATGCGGACATAGGATGAAGATGTCGCCCAAAAAAATTTGAAGGACGGGCTGGTTTGGCGATGTTTCAACAACATTTGTAGGACAACATTGTCATTGACATTGATATGGGATAAATAGCGGCCATTGTTAATTTTTTTATGAAATATTGTGAGGAACAACGAGAACAAGAGGAATTGGCGCCGACAGACAATAAACGATAAAAGATCGTGAATCCGACAGGGGATTTTTTTTCAGAGAAGTTAACTTCTGATTGAAAATGTGTCATGGTAAATATATTTTAATATAAATTGATATTGATCACAAAAGATAAAAATTATGGCTAAATTCAATAATGTGAGAAATTTTTTTAGATGACATTCTGCTGGTCGTTTAACGACATACAACAAACAACACTATCAACGCTTTTGAAGATATCACAACACTCCATAGTTGATTGATTCAATTTTTGTGAGAGCTGTGCTCTTCATAGATAGCCGCTCAAACTATGCAAACAGGTGGTCCTAATCACATAGTCCAAATTGACGAGAGTGTGGTCAGCAGTTCAAAAAGAACTCAAAACGATGTTGCAAAACCTGTTCCCCAAAGATGGGTCTTTGGTAGATTGACCAGGACACCAACGACGCATTTTTAGTTGAAGTTGAGAGAAAAGACGCCTTGACGTTGCTCCCTTTAATTCAACGTCATATTTTGTTTGGTAAATTTAAATTAAATTACATGAACCAAATCAGAAATACGTTTTATGTTCTTTATGCTTGTTTAACAGGCACAACAATATAGTCTGATGAATGATGGGCGTAAAATGCCATTAGTGTTATTGGCTACCAAAATGACACCGTCAACCATTCAAGGACGTTTAAGGCTCCTAGCGTTGTATACACGAATAACGTGGAAAATCTTTGGAGGTGCGCCAAAGACAAGTTTAAAATAATTAGAGGAATATGTGATAACCACTTGTCCTACTATTTCAATCAATCAATCAGTCAGTCAATCAATCAATCAATTAGTTTATTAAGCGCTATTTTCGCGATCTTCAACAGCGTTTCTCAATGAATTTTGCAAACAGATGGGTCTTGAGATCCGCTCTGAACTTCGTAAATGATGGAGAAGTAGTCAGAGAAGGAGGTAGAGAGTTCAAGAAAAAAGGGCCAAAAAAGCAAATGCAGATTTAGCAAAAGAGTGTTTAACACGAGTTAAGAAGAAGTGAGAACAAGAAGACAATCTTAAACCGGGGCGTTAAGGCTCATATAATATATCTGATAAGTACTTAGGAAATAATTTAGATTGAGACTTATACAGAAATGTGCAAATTTTAAAAATTATTTTATATTTTATAGGTAGCCAGTGCAAAAGAACAAAATATGGAGATATATGAAAAAAGTAAGGGGCACAAGCTACTAGACGAGCAGCAAAGTTAACAGCTTTACTTAAAGGATGGAGTGTAGAACCAGGAAGACCATAGTAGAGCGAGTTACAATAATCAATTCTACATAACACTAAAGAAGTAACAAGAAGGAGAAAAGTAGGATTGTCAAGAAAAGGCAAAAGTTTTTTTATTCTACGTAGATGAAAGTAAGAACTTCTAGCAACACTATTAATCTGAAAAGAAAGAGACATACTAGAATCAAAAATAAAGCCTAGACTACGAAACCTCTGAGAAACATCAAGAGTTTTAGAATCAGGTAAGATAATAGGAAGAATAGTAATAAAGTGTTTAGATTTATTAAAACAAATTAATTCAATTTTATAAGAATTAAGTTTAAGACACATAGAGTCAGACCAAGCGATAATTGAAAAAAGACATAGAGATAAATTATGAAGAACACTATTGAGATTAGATGGAGAAAAAGAAGTATAAATATAAGAGTCATCAGCATATAGTTGATTAGTGAAAGAAAAATTATTAATAATACGAGGTAGTTCAGAAGTATAGAATATAAATAGAAGAGGGCCAAGGATAGAACCCTGAAGTACCACGAAAAAAACGATTACAGAGATAAGAATAAAACCAAGATAAACAAGAATCAGTAATATTAAAAAAAAATCTAGTAGCCTTAACAGTATCAAAAGCAGAGGAAAAATAAAATAAACAGTAAGATTACTATTGTCACTAAAGAGAAGGATATTGTTCGATTACAGAGATAAGAAGAAAACCAAGGTAAACAAAAATCAGTAATATTAAAAGAAAAATCTAGTAGCTTCAAGAGGGTAGTATGATCAACAGTATCAAAAGCAGAGGAAAAATCAAGAGCAAGAAAAAGAGTAAGATTACTATTGTCACTAGAGAGAAGGATAAAGTTATGTATTTTGAGTAAAGAAGTTTCAGTACTGTGAGCAGGTCTGAAACCAGATTGAGATACAGGTAGCATGGAGTTAGAGTTTAAATAAGATAACTGTTGATTATAAACTACTTTTTCTATTATTTTGGAAATGAAAGTAATATTAGTAACAGGTCTATTAGTAGATAAAGAGGAAAGATCTAAGAATGAGTTTTGAAGAATAGGAATAACAATAGAATTCCTATAAGAAGTAGGAAATTTGGAGGTGGAAAGAGATAAATTAACTAATTTGAGAATGATAGGATAAAATATTGAAGACAATTCATTAAGTAAATTAAAGGGAAGCAGATCTAGAGAACAAGTTGTAGGTGACATAGAATTAATAATTTTAGTAAATTCTAGAAGATTTATAGGAGTAAATACAGAAAAATATTTGGATAAATTTATGTGACATAAGAGCATTGCCAGGAACGAAGATAAGTTCAAAAGGACGATCACTCTTATGAGAACATTTTAGTCAGCTTGAAGAATGTCCCAACAAAAATTTTCAATTGCATCATAAATTGTATCGTAAAATCAGGAAAAGATTAATAAAAAGCTATTTTACAAAAATGTAATTTAATTCATAATATAAATTTTAAAATCTAATTTCACTGTTACATCTTTAAAGCTTTCCATCGTTGTTAATTTAGTTTCTATGCATGTAATAAGAGATAATCAAAAAAAGTGGGTGGAACCTAATGGCGTATTTTTTTAGTCATTATTATTGCAGCTCTGACATATTTGATAAATTATTTATGTGTTGCTGTGAAGAATTTGGAATGTTGTTGACGCGCACAGTCGTCAATAGGGTGTTTAAATTCATGTATTACAAGATTACGCTTCAGAGTAGAATCGTGTTTAGGAGTGCAGTTGTTCTTTAGGGCCAATTGTGAGGTCTTATAATTGTTGTATTATATCCTTGGTTTTCTTTTATTTGATTGGTGTAACGTTTCCTTTTATGATTTGATTGAGGACGACGTCGCCTATTTTATGCGTCGTTGTGTAACTTCTGTAAAATGGGATTATGTCTCTGTCATTGCTGATTTTGAATATATTGTTATTTTGCTGTAGTCTCTGTTGAATGGTGCTTTCAATAGATGATGTTTTGTAACCGTTGCATACTAGTAGATTAGTAATTCCTTTTAATTTCGTATTGTGTTGTATTGAATATGTGATCCTCAGTTGAGGATGTATGTGTGAATGCACGGTTCACAAAGGATTTTATTGTGTTTATTATAAGTTGTTCCGTGCATTTGCTTAACCAATTTATACAAATACCTTTATTTGTTGCTTTGATGTTTACGGCAGTTGTAAATTTTTGTCCGTCATGCGTTACCAAAATATCGATATGAAACTCAATTTTGATCGGTTCAGGGTTGCTAGCAGCTGGTTGACTTGTTCTGGATCATCGTATGCGATGAAGATGACGTCAACATATCTAGTATAAATGTTTGGATTTAATTCCGAATTGCCTCTAAACGTTTTGCTCTCAAGATTTCATAAGAAAAAATTTGCGAACAGGACATTTGAGTCCATGGCTACACCGTCAATTTGCTTGTAGAGCTTGCCCGTCGGATTGTGGAAGGGTGCTTCGTTGGTGCAGATTTGAGATGTGTTTTTGGTATTTTTAGGAGGGCCATGTGTGAAAAACACTATTGATGATGATATCAATTGTGTCATGGATGGGAACATTTTTTTATTAGGACCAGAGTTCATTAATGATCGCTCTAACAGGATTTGAAGAAAAAGTTGGGAAGGAAAACAACAGGGTTATTCTGCTACACTAAATGCTCTAAATTCGAAGATAAGGGGGTGGAGGAGGAAAAAGCAATGAATGTTGTTCTATCAAACAGAGCATCATAAAAAATGAATTGAAACGTTTGATTAAATATAATTCAATATAATCTAAGCAAAATTATTTCATTGCTTTCCATGAAATTAGGTACACATATCGAAAATGTTTGCTTTTTTACCTGTTCACAAATACAACATACAATGCCTTAGTTTAGAAATCATTGCTCTGTTTGGTTATATATGTACGGTGCATAAGTTGTACATATATGTATGTATTTAACTTGGTGTATGCATTTGCACATATATATGTATGTGTTTGTGTGTATGTGTTTGTTTGTATTTGTTTTTGTGTGTACGTGTGTTGGGTTTTTTTGCGTGTGATTGATATATTTATATAAACCATCAGCAACTTAGTACACTTCATTGCGAAAGTAGCCCACGTATTGTTTTGTGAATGTTGAAATAAATTAATTCGAAACATAATTTAATCATAAAAATTTTGTGTGAAAATTTGTTAAAATAGAACCAAGTATAATAATTACCTTTTTATTTAGACAAAAGTATTAAATATTTTACGCATTATAATTTTGTAATTTTTGTTGTTTAATTTAAGCCATGAAATAAAATTAGATTTTTTTGAAAAGATTATTCAAAATTTATTTTTCAGAATAAAATGTCATGGAAGAGACAAAAATAAACCAGGTGATAAAATCCGAAATCTTGAATTACGGAGAAAACACATCTGTAAGAGTGATATCGAAGTTTACCAGATCAAAAGATGCTTTCCTCAAACTGCTGTGGCTCGTTTTGTTGATGGGCTCAACATCCTATATGATCCAGAGACTGTATGTATTATTGAGTGACTATTATGCATACCCTGTTACAACGCAGTACGGAGAAAATGTAGGCAGGGCTCTAAATTAAGAAATTTTAAACTCAACTTTAATTTAAATTCATGATTTTTTTTGTAATTTTTAAATTTATTTGTAATTTTTTGAATATTGTAATTTTATGTAATATGTTTATATTAATTAAATAATATAATATTTTTTATTATTATTTTTATTATTATATTATAATATATTATAATATTATATTATAATAAATATAATATTATAATTTAATATAATAATATAATATTATAATATAATAATATAATATATTATAATATTAAATTATAATATAATTTATAATAATTTAAAAAAATTATCTATGTAATCGGCTGCAGATCAAATAAAATAATACAATAATTCAAACACTAGGTTGGTCAGAATATAATATTTCCAGACATAACAATATGCAATTTGGATCCTTTTGCCTCACTCAAACTAGATGATCAATTTCTTAGTGATTTTTCTAGCAAATTGAAATTCATTAAAAATAGATTTTTTGAAATTATAAAAGATGAATTAAACTTATTAGAAAAATCAGCCTTGGATGTCTTAAATGGAGCATTTGAAGAAATGGCATCCGTGTCAGGTTACTTGATAAATTTGGAAAAAGAATATCAACAATCTGACGACTGTCCAAATTTTATTGTCGATTGTAGTTTTTTTGGTACTAATTGGTTTGAAACGAGAGATTCTTGTTCTATTGCTAACTTTACGCGGCGTTGGAATCCGAACTATTACTCCTGCTACACGATGGAAACAAAAAATTTGAAAACGTCAAACTCAAATATTATTAGAGGAATAAGTTTGCTACTGAATGTTGGCCCACCCAATGTCATTCCATTAATTTACAAATCCTCACTAACAAGCTCTCAAGCGAGAGGAGTGCAGGTGAGTGTGCACAGTCCTGGAACCCCTCCTGACCTCAAGCGTGGGTTCAACGTAGCTCCTGGGACAGGAAATATCGTGGAAATTGTTCAAAAAGAAAGGACACGATTGAAAGCACCTCACAACAAGTGAAAACAATTCTTAAATCAACTTATATTAATATTGATATAAATTTAATTACAAAGATCGAATGAAAATTTTTTAAGATTGGATTGCATCGAAGAGAGTTCTAATTCATCAAAAAAATACACATACGATTTGTGTAGAGAATATTGCCAACAAAACGAACTAAAATTTAAGTCTGGCTGTTTAACACATTTGCTGTTCATAAAAGACAGAGACTTAGGAAGATTTCCACTGTGTGGAAATTTCAGTTACTACTTGAACTTGAGTTCAAGTGATGCTTCACTCAACGAGTCCATTGCTGAATACGTAGTAAATTTTTCGAACTCGTTAATCAAAGCTCAGTGTACTGCGTATCGTTATAACAGTAAGTTGATCATTTGTTATTTTTCAATTAAGAATATTTTATTAGTTTTTTTGATAGATAAAACTGTCTTGATAAAAAATGATGATTGTGAAAAGAAATGTTTAATGCTGTGCAACGAAATCATGTACCAATCTTTCCTAACGTCAGCAACTTGGCCACAACCATCAATACAGCTTGATATCTTCCAAAAGTATTTTATTAGTGGTGGTTGTATGAAATATTCTAAAGTTAAACAAAGATACATAAACTATTTTGATTATTACAACGACATTTTAATTAACAACACGACCGAAATACCATTATCGAGTTTGACTCAAATGCAAAAATCTTTACTCGAAATCAAGTTTGTGATGAAACAAAATTTTCCGTTTTTTCAATCTGAGAAGCCGGCGTACACGAGCGATATGATGATCGGGGCAGTGGGGGGGATGTTGTCCCTTTGGTTGGGAGTCACTGTTGCAAGTGGAGTGGAGGTCATAGAGCTGGTCTACTTAATGATGAAACGTTCTTGGCAAAAGAAATTTTCTGACAATGAAAAAGCAGGTGATAATAATAAGGTTGCAAGAGATGTCAGTTGTGATCCTAATGACGATAATCAGAAATTTTCTGATAATACAATGACAACCAAGTTATGAATATAAATTCGGCGTACTTTATTTTTTTATATACTTATTGTAACCAGTTTGTTGCAGTTATAAATGATTGATGTAAAAAATTATTGCTTCATGATTTTTAAATATTATTAATGCATCATAATTTCATTTGTTTTTGGAACCGAAATTGTGCTTATGATCGTGGTGGTAAAATCATAAATTTTGTGTTGTCACTGATGTGTTAACTACTTAGTTAACTGAGTTAACTACATTATTATTATTATTATCCTCTATTATATATTTTTCAGAGATTTTGATTTAAATGCTTTGTTCAACCAGTGCGTTTTCCTGTCTGAATTTCTTTACTGAAACAATTTGTTTCAAACGCAATTGTAGATCATTCCAAATCTATGGCAAAGCAACTTGTATACATCTATTGCTAAGCTTTGTTGTCATTATAAGGAATGCCATCAATTCATTAGAGATTGATCGCAAAGCATGTCCCATGGCACTTTCTGATTTTTCACGAAAAACTATCTTCAACTATTCCGGTCCACCACCATGAATGCAACAGTAAGCAATAACTGCCACCTTGTAAAAAATCCTTTTGCTCACCGACAATCAAGAAAGATTTTCCAACCACCCAGTTATGTGATCACGTCTACCTAGCCCAATAACCAGTCTTGCAGCAGCGTTCTGATTTCTTTTAACACCACTAACTGCAGCACCAAACATCTACGAGTTACAATAATCTAACCTCAACAATACACTTGATACCACAAGACTTGTGAAGATATCAGCTGGAAAACTATTTTCTATTTTTGTCTGATACAATTTGTACCAGGTTTCACTTTATATGGTAACATAGTCAATGAATTGTCAAACAATGCTTCTAAACTTTTGACTGTCTAAACTGCGTGCAACCGGTTACCAAAACCATATGGTATCTAAATGTTGAACTACCGATTTCAGCCAAAACTTTTCTGAATCCAAACCAAATTAACTCTTCATTGTCAGGATTCAACTTAAAGCAATTCAAATTCAACCAGTCATATCTTCAATACATCTAATCAACCCTTCTGAAATTACCCCAGCATTTTTTACCAATCTAACTGAATAAATCTGAAAATCAGCAGCATTCATATGAACCCCAATACCATGATCTTTTACCAAAAATAGAATCGGACCCAACAATGAACCCTGTGAAATACCAGAAACCATTATTACCTTGAAGAAAATTTTTTGCGTTCTATCCATCAATAACGAGGCAGACCAATCCAGAGCAATGACAGCATTACAAAAAATAACCTCCAATTTCTTTAACAGTACACCACGATCAACAGTATCAAACGCAAAACTGAGTTCGAGTAAAGCCAATAACACCGCTCTATCATTATCAACCTGATTGATAATGTCACTAAACACTTTCAGCAAAGCTGTTTCTGGGGATGACCCTGGTCTGTAAGCTAACTGAAACCTGGGTAATAACCGGTGGGCAGACTGGTGACCAAACAGACGAGCAAGCATTTATCGTTAAAAAATCTTTAAAAAAAATTGAGGTTTGAAACCGGCCTAAACTTCTTTAAATTGTTTTTATTCAAGCTGTTCTTTTTTAGCAAAGGAGAAATAACCACCGACTTCAGTTCCCGAGATTTGTTTTTGTTCACAGAGCAATCTGTTGATTGAATACCAAAGTTGTTTTGGGTTTGATCTGCTTTTTGTAATATTTGTTTGCCAAAACGATCCCATTTTAGTTATTCAGGATTTAACAACTGATGTTTTTAGCATTCCTTATCATCATGATTAATTGTATCATAATAACGATTTGTTTGATTTTAAGACAAGAAGCAACGTGCACATAAGTCCGCCAGTATCTATGTCTAAAACATCAAACGTCAAAAAGAACGGCAGCACACATTAGCAGAAATAACGAAGAATGCCACTTAGAATAAATAACTTTATATATTATACGAATGAAATTTTTTAGAATGCCAGCAAGAATTCAATATTGCCTGTTTATAATGTTTTGTACAGTGTATATAGGAGCAGTACATTGTACAGCATGTTTTTTGAAATAAACATTAGAAAGAACTGCAGGTTGAATATTTGTGTTGGTGCATCACGGGTGTTTCATTAAAAAAGCAGCTGAGATCATTTGTACCGTTTTCAATTTATTTTGTTTTCAGCATAATTAACAGAATACCGTTTAATATATTGATGACGTTATTTTGGAAAATAAATTTTTATATTTTATTGATGTGAACGTATAAAATAAATTAAAATATGCACTTGTTAAACTACCAAAATTTTGATTGGATTGGCGTAAAAAGTCATCTCATAAGTTCTGCCCTACATTTTTTGAGCAATAATTATACATAAAATCTTGTATTCATTGCAAAATCATAAAATTATTTATTAAAACAAATTTTCAATGAAGTATAAAGTTACTTGAAATATTTTAATGTTACTGCAAACAGCATGCTGCTATTATAAAATTTTCCAATTATTACAACAAGCCAAATAATATTCACATACTTGATTACATTATAAAATCATTGTTTTAAAGAAAAAACTTCTGCCTTGACGAAAAATATGACGTGATAAGCAAAAAAAAGTCGTAAGCCAAAAATGTTGGCTACACGCTCAACATTTAAACACATTGAAACATTTTCCCGGTCAACGATTGAAAAATTTTCGAAATTTCGGCCTCTCCCACTAAAGTTGTCTAGACCCGCCAGTGGCGATGCCATATCCGGCTAATAAGAATTTACGGTAACGGTTGAAATTCAAAGTAAGGTGAAAAATTATCCATATTATTTTCATAAAATACCGTTAAAACACTAAACAGTATTTAACAACGAAAACAACTTTAAACTACTTTGAAAGCATTGTTATAAAATCTGTTCAGCTACCATCATAAAGTTTGCAGTTATTAACAACTTCTTAACCATCAACAAATGATCGATATTGTTGTTTAAAGTCAATAACTAAATGACGATTTAATTTGCGAAAAGTAAGATAAACGTTTCAAAGTGGACTAACAAATGAAAATGTTAGAAAAACATCGATTAAGACTGAAAAACTAGTAAATATTTCCTTTCAGAAAAATGTTGAAAAGTGCGATAAAAATTAAAGCGAACTAAAAGTAAAACAACTAAACAAATCTTCTGAGCCACACTTTGAAATATTTTTAATTATTCAAATCATTAAACTAAAGAAATATATTATTTAAATATGTATTCAATTGACAGTGCAAATTGAGAACACTGAAATATGCAATTGGAAACTATTAACTACACATCTCTAATCATGTGTATTCGCCGACAAATTTAAAAACAACAGCATTAATTTGAGATGTGTAATGAGGGGTGTTCATCGAGGAAATTACAGCTTTCACTGAGGTTTCATGTAACTCGTCACAATTTATTCATAAATATGAAGAAAGGAGATGATAAATTTTAACATTAAATTTATATTATGCATTTAATACATTTAAAATTGTGGGTGAGATATTTTCTAAAGAGATTTTTTTAATTAATTTATTATTTATTAAAACATAAATCACTATTTTAAAAATGTTTCGAAAGGATTTTTGCAGACGTTCAAGTATATAAGATGCCATATTTCCTTCAGTCACGAGGCGTGTTTGGAATGGGAATGCCATTGTAACGGTTATAATGATTATCATCAGTCATCAATGTATCGGGCTGAACACCTGCTGTCCTTTGAAACACTCACAGAAAATATCAGAACTGCTAAAAAATCTATCGAAAAACTTACTTATAAAATGGTATGACTCTAACGATAACTTTTTACTTATAAGCTTTTTTTCAATTTCAAATAAAAATTTTTAATATGAAAAGAAAATAGAACGCTTTGGTAACAGCGAGTTTCATACCAAACTTTTGGAGAGTTGTGCTTTGAGCAATAGGAGAAGCAGTGATTGCTTGTTTCGCACTTTGGAAAACAGTTGTTCATTGAGTGAGCTTCCTGTGCAGGCAGATATGATGATTTGGAAACAAGAAAGTTTCACAAGTGTAAGCTTTTTTGTTTGTATCTGCTATTTGCCATTTGGCACTATTTTAAATTTTTAAAACCATTTTTGAAGCTGAGAAACATATTGATGGAAGTGGCCCCTTGGCTGGCTAGTGTTAATTCGTATTTGGAAAAAGCTATAAATGATGAATCAGAAGTACAGGATTGGGATACAAAATTAAAAAGCGAATTTGAAAATGTACAAAAAAAAGCCATTTACCAAATTTACTGCAACCTCATTGTTGTTTTACCAAGCTCTTACGAGTTTTCCGATAATTTTTTGGAAAATATTTTTGAAATTAATGAAAATGAATGCAAAGATTTGTCGGAATTAGCAGCGAGAGACAACAGAAATTACATAGTCCTTGTGGTTTTGCAGAATATTTTGACGAATTTAAAAAATCGCTTGAATCATTTCAGTCCAGCTTTGAAGGGTTTTAATGCATTTGTCCGCGATGATGATCCTAGAGCTAATTTGAGAAGTTTAATAGAACAAGGAACTGGTGGAAAAAGAAGTGTTGCTAACAGGTCTTCACTAAAAGATCATTTTGAAAAGAAAAAATATTTATTTAAACATTTCCTGCCGGTTTTTGTATGGTGATAAAAAATTCTACTAAAATGACGTCATTTCAAAATTTAACAAGATTATAATGAAAAATTGCATTTAAACTGTTAAAGGTTTATAAAATGACTATATTTTAATTTTTTTCCAAACGAAAAGTTATACTGAAGTAATCAAATTGTCAAAAAATTGTTGTCAATATTATCATTCGAAAAACATCGTCAAATAAATTGCTGATATGAGTTTAAATTGCATGTCTTCAAAAATTTGCACTCTAGGATTATAATTATGATCAATTTATAAACGCGCTAATTAAAAATATCTCAGAAGCGCTCTCAAATGAAATTACTCACACAATAATAGGCATGAAATGAACAAAATAAAGACAAATCAGTACAAGTTTAAGCATAAAACATAGCAACATTATTAAAGTCAGTAGTCAAAAAAGAAAAATTTGTATAGTCAATTCACAATGAAAATAAAAATGTTTTCAGTCTTTTTTAAAAATCATTTGATGATAATCCTGGGTCACTGAGAGATGACGGCAGACTGTTCCATACGGCCGGTCCAGATGAATCAATCCGACGTGACCCAATATGAAGGTTAGTGGCTGGAACCACCAAGAGATTCTGGTCACAGGATCTCAAGTTAACCTTGGAGCGACTAAATGTTTTTTAATAAATTTATCTTGTAAATACTTAGGAGCATTATCATTAAGTATGCACTTCAGGCCACCAACCAAAACCTTCGCACAATGGTTCTGTATAGACTGTAACAGAGTAATCGATTTGTGAGGCATTCCATAAAACAAACCATTACATAGTCAATCTTTTAGTGTACAAATGCATGGACTAAAGTTTGTAAATTAGGAGGTATTTAAAGCATTACGAATTTGATTAATTCTTCTGATGTGGAACATGCAGCTTCTAGATAGTGTCTTGATGTGTTGCCTTATTGTCAAATTTCTATCAACCACAAATTGAAAGCACTGCCATAAAATTTAATTATCTGACCATTAACAGTGATTGACTTCAATTCAAGTTTCAACAATTGCTGCCAAGTTCCTATTGGTAAAAGTTTTGTTTTATTCTGATTTAATTTTAAACAAATTTTTGTCATCCAGCAACCCACTGTCGACAAGCATTCTACTAATTTATTTATTACTGCCTGGAAATAAATCCACAGTACCATTGACCACAATCTGTATATCATTCACATATGCATGACATGAAAACCCAAAAGATTCAACAGCTTTCAAAATTTTTGACGTGAACAGCAGAAACAGCAAATGGCCAAAGACCGAAGCCTGGGGAACACCAAAAATAACTGAGATGACATCAGACATTTTACCACCAAACGATACCAGCTGAGTTCTATCAACCAAATAGGATTCTAACCAAATCAGAACCACCCAAGAGATACCAAAACATACACTCAACCGCTTCAGAAGAATTTAATGATCAAAGCAATCAAACGCCAAACTCATATCAAGAAAAGCAATAAGCGATATTTTCTGAGCATCAATAGCTGAGTAAACTTCAGAGAGAACCTGAAGTAGCGCTGTCTTTGTGAAATGAAACTGCCTGAAACCCAATTGATGAGCAGGCAGCAAATTGTTATTCTTCAAGTGGGTAATAATTTCTTTAGCATCTACAAGTTCTATAACTTTGGAGATAAAACAAAGATTAGAAATTGGCTTGTAGTTGCCTGTGTCAGTTGCATCCAGATTGTTCTTCTTTAGTACAGGCAATACAGTACAGGCATTGCACTGAAATGGAAAATTGCCCTACTTTAAAAATAGGTTTACCAAACTTGTCAAAAATGGACAAACAGATTGATATACTTTTTGATGATAAATATCGGAAACATATCCCGCTGACAAGAGTTAGTCGGTGAGTTCTAAATTACCTTTTTAATGTCATCATCAGTAACAGCCTCAAACGTGGAAAATATCCGCTGCACCTTAACCTTTGGTACATTAAAATCCATATAATTCAAAATTCCTGTATCCCGATTCACATTATGTAAATTTCAACAAAGTAGTTCATAAATTGATTAGTAGTCAGTTCTTCACAGTACGACTTTCATTATGACTTTTACATAGAATTGCATTTATAACTTTCCAGAGACCTTAAGAACTGTTTTTGTTTTCATCAACGATTTTAACCCAAAAAAATGACTCTTATCAGCAAACAGTTTTGTCTTTCAATGTAGACTTCCACTCATCACGATGATTAATTAGCAGACTATACGGGGAATAGATGTAATTTTTTAAGTTCGATTATTATGATACGATTTAGATATAAAAACTTGAAATGCATTAAAAAAATATTGATCTACATGGCGAGCGGTACGAGAAATTTTTTATTATAAAATTCGTTCTACCAAGTTTACTTTAAAAAAAGAATTTGAATAATAAGTTATTGAAAATTGTGTGAGATGAAATGTTACCTTTAATTCAATTTTTCAAGATCCAAAATCTTACACGTTGTTCATTGAAAAAATAAATGAAAAAACTTTTCCACGAAAACGCAACCAACCATGCAAAAATAAGACCCATGGACTTGTGATGCGAAAATAACAAAGACCGCTTGAAGTCATCAGGAGTTACGCTTAAAGAAAAATTAGGATATACAATTAGAAACTAAATATTTAATCCGAAACATTACTGAATAAACTTACAAAATAAATTTAAAACCTTTATAGTTTATTGTCTATTGAAATGTATTTATACGAACATATTCCCAGTATTTGTTACTGTTTAAATAGTTCGTTTATATAAGAGAGAGTGAGGCAAGATGGGCCTAATTTAGAAAAACGTGTAATAGCCAGATTGTGTGATATTTTTAGAATTTTGCTTTAAGTTGGTTTTGCACATAGACATAAGTGCTGTATTATTTATAGGTCAATATTAGGTAAAAGCGAATGTTGTTGAGTTAATTGATATTTTTCAAAAATTTAAAAAAGGTGCGTTTTGCCCCGACATTTGGGGCAAAACGAGCATAGTGTATTCATTTTGTCCCGTTATTAGCTTGTTTTGCCCGTTTGAAAAAATATTTAATTTAATTTTTTCATAAAATACCTGCTACTCCTTCATAGTTAAAACACTGAAACTGATGAAACATTGTGATATTTATAAAATCAGTATTACATATTAATCAATAAATGTATCAAAATAAGAGAATTACTCAATTGAATATTACTCAGTAGCAATCAAGTTATAAGCTAGTTCAAACAATAATCGCAGATAAATTGTCCTCCATCTGGTGCAACACAACTCTCGTGGCACCTCTTCGAACATTTAGTGCACTTGATCCAAGTTTCATTTGGAGGTTCAACGTAAAGTTCCTTGAAATAAATACAATAATAATCTTCATTTTCTTGACCTTTAGACTACTTTTTACCTTTGTTTTCTGGTGCGTTAACTGATCTTTTCAGTGTATTAACTGTTTGTTTTGTCTGAGCTTTTGTTGCTTGTTTGTTACCTATTGATTCCTTCCTTTTATCAACGGTCTGTTTTGTTTTAGCTACAGTTGCTTGTTTCTTGTTCTTATCAATATAACAATCAAAACTTTTTTTCATTTTTCTACGTTTGTTAACCTCGATGGCTGCTTTCTTATTCTTTTGCATGAGCGACTTATCTTTGAATGGAGACGCAGTCAAGACTTCGGCCTTTTGACACTTACGTTTCCGTTCACCACTTAGTGCACATTTTGGAAATGGCGACACTTCATTAACCAAAATTCTAACAGTTTTATTACATTTTTTTAGATGTTTATAATTTTTTGTTGCTTCTTCCGATATGGATGGATTTTGATCAATATCCACTACCTCCTCTGAAGTGGATAGATGTTGAACAATTTCCACAACTTCCTCTGATGTGGATGGATGTTGATCAATTTCCATTATCTCCTCTGATGTGGATGGATATTTACCAGTTACCACTACTGCTTGGGATTTGCCAAATAACTGATCTGTAACTGATGATGGTGCAAAATCTGTTTCGCCAAAAACGTCAAGATTGAAAGGATGGATACCGGTTTTTGCAAATCCAGACACAGCTTTATCCATTCCGGAACTTTTTATAAATGCTGTTGAAAATATGGATACTATATCGTATTCAGAAATTCTTGTTGCTGGATGATTTAGCATCCATTTATCGCATTCTGTTCCATAATATTTTTTCAAAGGTCCGAAAAAGGTTAAGTCGAGTGGCTATAACCTGTGTGTTGTCTGTGGCGGAAAACTGATCATTACTATACCGTTTGTACGTGCCTTTATTGGATATTATTTTACCGCAACTAATACCCGTTTCGTCGACATTGTAGATTCGAGAGGCTTGGAATGCATGTTTTTCTTTTTCGGATTTCAAAATATCGAAAAAAGCAGCTATCTGTACTTTATTGAAGCCAGTCGCCCGACTTAAGCTGGTTTGCTCTGACTCCTTTAAGGATAGCTCGGTATGACGCTTCATGAATGACATCATCCAATCCGGACCGGCCATTTTTTCACTTTTAGAAAACGGATGTGGCAATTTGTTCATCTCAGCCAAATTGTAGGCCAGTTTTCGACATTCTTTCAATCCGATACCGTAAAAACGCTTCTGCATTTCCAAACAATGAGCAACTAATTCTTCATCAAATCTTGTATCGAAAACTTTCTGGAATCTTCCCAACGAGCCAGTAATTTTCACAATCCTTTTCAAATGTCTTTGCAATGCACCCCTTGGGATACCTTATACACGAGAAGCTTCTTGAATAGATAACGTTTTGCTTGTCACAGCTTGTATAACCTTACTCAGAGTTTCGATATTCCATTTTTGCTTCTCACTTTTTCGCTTGTAGTTACGTACCATGATTTAAAAGGATCTGAAAACATATAAAACAGACTAAATTGTAAATTGCTGAATTAAGAAAAGATATTTTTGATACAAGGGGCAAGACAGGTCTTTATGGGGCAAGACCGGCCTCGCTGCCCATCTTGCCCCAAAAAACACGGAACCGCCACAAAATTCGTACTGAAGCGGCAATCTTGCACAACAACAGATGAGACCACTGTGCGATTAAACAACAATTAACCAGTTTAAAAGTTATTTCAATTAAAAAAAATTAAATATTGACATTCACGATTTATTATGAATTAATTTAAATGTGTAAAATAAGTTTGAAAATTGTAAAAAAAATGTATAATTACCCTAATTTCGTCAGCTTCGCTTCAATTCAACAACATGTAGCCGAAGACACTGTATAACATGGTCATCTATTAATTTCATATGCTTCGGAAGACAAAAACAATCACACATCTGTGTAAATTAAAAAATCCGTCTTGCCCAGTATGTCCGTCTCGCCCCACCTTCCCCTACATGTCTTTTATTTAGCAGGGTTTTGGAGTAAGCATTTTGTTGAGTTGTTCCGCTCCAGCTCTGCACTGGCATTATAACAATGGCTTCAGCTCCGGTCCATGCTCAGTTCCGTGCTTCGGTAACATACTATTAAAAAAATTATTACCAAGAAGGAAGTTTGATTATTTCATTAGCATATTTTCAAAAACAAATTTATTTGTTTAAATTAACAGCAAAAGCAAGCAAAAGATATATTCCGTTTTTACTGGAATAATCAAAAAAGAGATAAAAACGGCGAAAAAACAGAGAATACACTTTTCTAAATATTTTAAAATGTCTATTAATCTAAATCCGCACCCACTGTCATTTTTTTGAAAACGCAGATTTGTCTAAATAAAATTATAAAATTCTCTACAAATTTACCTTCGTTAGCGATCACAAATTGCATGATGATTCTAGCAGAACAATAATTAAGTAAAAACAAAAGAATAACCTTAAACTTACAAATGGCAAACGATCACACTGTCAACGAGGAAATTTTTCAATTGAATTTTCATTTAGCATTTTAACTTTTTTAGAGTGAATTTCTTTTATTGAATTTTCATTTAAAACTTTAATTTTTAAACATCAAAGCTGTGGAGCAATGAAAATTTTTTGTTCCAGCTCCGCTCATGCTCCGCTAAAAACACGCTGCTTCAACTGCTCCACTCTCCACTCCAAAGCCACACCAAATTTTCGCAAAATGTACATTTCATATTGCCTGAAAAAGTTAATTAACAGAAAGTGTTATATTATATTGAAAAAGTTGTCAATACTGAAAGCATTATTATCTTTGAGCCAAATATTGCGTTAATTTGTTATTTCATTATATTACGTTATGAAGTTTAAGAATTTTCAAAGCATTGAACGATCGCGAACAACAATTTGATAAAAGCTGTTAATTAACGGTGGATCTGGTTGAATTTATTTTCTTGATGTTCCAGGAGGAACCGGGAAAACGTTCCTAATTTCATTGCTTTTTGTGAGGATCAGATCGCGAAAATGATGTTGCTTTAGCGTTGGCCTCATCAGGAATAGCTGCGACTCTGCTAAAAGGCGGATGAACTGTACATGTACATCCTGCTATGAAATTACCATCAAACATGCAAATCACCGAAACACCAACTTGCAACATCGCCAAAAATAGTGCAATGGCCAAGATCCTACAGGTATGCAAATTGATTGTTTGAAATGTATGCACAATGGCCCAAAAGAGGTCACTAGGAGCACTGGACAGAACGTTGAAAAATATTCGTGACAACCAAAATATTTTTGGTGGAGTCATGATTCTGTTGGCAAGTGATTTTAGTCAGATTATTCTAGTTAATCCTCGATCAACTGTTGCTGATGAACTAAATGCATGCCTAAAATCATCGAATTTGTGGCAGTATGTGTTAATTTTTATGTTTTATTTTAAAACATTATGATATACACTATCTTTTTTTGGCTAAATGTTTTTTGCTTTGTATGTAAATTCACTTTTTGTTGTCCCGGTTGATAATAAACGAGTCAAAAACGTTTCTAACGTTTTTAAACGTTTATTTTCTTCTTTTATTGTCTTTCAATATTATATTAGTATCATTTAATTAAACGATCTACGTTACAAAAAATTTAACAGGTTATGGGACCAGATAACTTTTTTTTAACAATTAATTAATATGACGTAGAAAATTTAGAATAAAGAAATATCGGAAGATTTTCTTTGAAGACTGAAGTGAAGAGAAAACAGGTGCTTTCTCATTCTCTTAAAGTCGATATTTAGCTTCTTATTAAAAAGGTCAAATTGAAAGACAAGAAAGAAATGGATCCAACAAAAGTGCAAACATAGAAGGAAAAAGTAATTGGTTGAACTAGAAATCAAGAGTTTGTATAATACTACGCAGTATTCCTGATGCAATGGACGTAGTAAATGGCAAATTAAAAGGTCTAGATGAATTAAACAATGTCTCAAATAAAAATGAGATAGCAAAATATTAAAACTGCTTTTAACAAATTCAATAAAGCAGATTGTAATGCTATGATAATTCTGTCAACCATTATGACCGATGAAACGTATGAAAAAGTTCGTTCATTTAGTAATGCCAGAGATGTTTGGCTAGAACTTCATAGATTGTATGATGAAGTTAATGAAGTCTATTTATGCATGAAGTTCTTCAGTTATAAAATGGATGAAAGTGATGATGTTGTCTCTCATGTTACAAAACTCAAGAATCTTTGGAAAGATTTAAAGGTCGAGTTAGGAAAAGATGAAAACAATGACTTATTGCTGATATGTCAAATAATTGAAACTTTGCTAAACAAAATTTTTCATTTGCTGCAAGTTGGAGATTGTAAAACAAGACTGAAAGAACAGTTGAAATACTTACAGATCAATTGTGTAGCTTGAAAGATCTTTGAAAGGCAAAACGGAAAGTAATAAAGTATTATTTGTCAAAGCAACAAGTGAAAAGTCATCTTAAAACATGAAAGGTCAAATATAAGATAAATTTGTCATTTAATCAAAGCGGCTGATATGTCATTACTGCAATACGTCATGTCATTATTGCAAATTGACAGGTCACATTGTAAGAAATTGTGAAAAATGGCATTCCGATGGTAAACCAGCAAACCAAGAAATAACAATCTACGCGATGACAATAAGGAATACTAGTTGTTATGGAATCAAGTGTTTTTGCAATTGATGAGTCAGCGTACACTGATGAATGGTTTTTTGACAATGGTGCAACGTGTCATCTAAAGTAAAATATATGTTGCAAATGGTGATACTGTAGAAGCTTTTGGAAAAGGAATTGTTCATCTTCAAGTGAAAGTGAATAACAAATGGCAAACGGTTAAACTCACAGATGTTTGGTATGTGCCAAAAGTAAAAAGAAACTTGTTTTCAATACTTGCAACTCAAGATAAGAACAGAAATAACTCTTTTGTTTCAACCTCAAGAAGTTGACATATAATTAATGACAATGTGATGAATGTTGATGGAATAAGAAACAATGATGGAGGTTTGTTCAAATTTGTAGCAAAAACTGTTAGACCGTTGAATTCTAAAGTTGAAGTTAACTTTGTCAATGATCAATACGCATTGAAGTTATACCATGAATGAATGGGACATCAGAATAAGAAACATGTTAAAATGGTCATGAAACGTGAAATAAACATCGATATTTTATGTGAGGGATGTGTCCATGGAAAGATACATCGATTGAAATTTGGAACTCGAGTAAGAGCATCAAGACAAGGAGAATTAATTCACACTGATGTATGACGTCCTTTTTGTTTTCTCATTTCAAAATTTCAGATATTTTGCTTTGTTCAAAGATGATTTCATAGGCTACAAATTTGTTTACCTTGTGAAACAAAAATCAGATGTACCAGAAAGACTCAAAGTCAAGATCAGCTGATCATAAAGTCTCAGAAGTATTAAGTGACAATGGAGGTGAATTTGAACAAAGAAGTCAGATCAATTTTTAAAAAAGAAGGAGTTATACAACGACTAACTACGCCTTATACACCTCAGCAGAATGGTTGCAGTGAGCGTGATAATCGAACGCTAGTTGAAGCAGCAAGAGCCATGAGACTGGCTCATGAAGAACTGCCCCATGCCCTTTGGGCTGAATTAGTTAATATTGCTGCTTACATACTCAACCAAACTGGACCATCTTCTGTAGAAAACAAATCACCATATGAATTGTGGTTTAACAAGAAACCTATGATACCACATCTAAAAATCATTGGTAGCACAGCCTATGTCCATATTTCCATGCAGAAACGATGAAAAATGGATACTAAAGCTGTAAAGGGTATTCTCGTTTGATATGAAAGTGACGATGGCTACAGAATTTTTGTTCAACCAGAAAATAAAATGCTTCGATCAAGAGATGTTATTTTTGATGAGAAAGTTGTCAAACCAACTTTAGTGATTTTGCAAGAAGAAAGTTGTTCAAATGATACAGTTTCGATTGATGATGAAATCAATGATGATAATAAAGAAACTTTGATTAAAAAAAGTATTTCAACTGATGAAGATGTTCACAACTGTAGTTCAGTTTCATCTGATAAAGAAGATCTATCTGATTGTTGTAATCAAAAGACCAAAGGTATGGTTTTACGTGACAGGAATAATATCAAAAAGCCATCTCGTTATGATCTTTTTGTTATGTCTGTATTTAGTTTAGTACTTGAACCAGAGAGCTACAAAGATGCCATTCAAATATATGAAAAAGATGAATGGTTTGAAGCCATGAACAGTAAAATGCAGTCATTAGAGGAAAATCAAACGTGGGATTTGGTAAATCTTCCAAAAGGTCATAAGGCAATACCATAAAAATGGGTCTACAAAGTAAAACACAATGCAGATGGTTCTGTTGAACGTTTTAAAGCCAGGCTAGTGGTAAAAAGTTTTTCGCAAAAAAGAAAAAATGACAATGATGAAATCTATAGTCCTGTGATCAGAAATTCAACTATAAGAACACTATTAAGTGTTGCTGCAAAGTAAAAGATGTCACTCATGCAGTTTGATGTGTCTACATCATTTTTATACAGCAAACTAGATGAAGATATCTACATGGAGCAACCTGAAGGTTTTAAGATAATTTAAGAAAAGTCTGTAAACTCAAGTGAAGTCTCTATGGACTTAAACATGCTCCAAGATGTTGGAACAAACGCTTCGCTGAATTCTTGAAAAAGAAATTTTTCAAAAAAGCGATGCAGTTCATTAGAATGCAAGAAGGAAAGAAACTCATACTTGCACTGTACGTTGATGATGGAATTAATGGCAGAAACCGATAAAGAAGAACTAAAAATTTTTGAAAAAGAATTAAAGTCAGAATTCATGATGACATCTAAACCATATAACTAGAATAAATATAACGGCCTTCGCTCACTTTTAACGGTCGAACAAGGAGCTTACTTCCGGAGGGGAATTGGAGGGTTATTTTTTATCGTTCGAGTCAAAAGTTACGACCGTATATATTTACTAATTTCGGAATATTGCTTTAATTTTAATATTATATTAATTTTTTTTATTTAAATTTTTTTAATTGTTATTCAATTTGGTAATTAATTACTTTTATTTGGTATAAAATTAAAAAAATAAAATCGACATTACCGAAAATAATTAAAAGTTTGAAAAATTGAGGTTCTTTGCATATCCCTGCTTCAACCCATAAGTGTTGTAGACTGGTAATAGGCCTCCCCTTGATTTAAACCTGCAACATATTTCCTTGGATTAAAAATTAATCAAAGTGAGAAGGGAAATATTAAAGTCAATCAGTCATCGTATACAAGAATGATTTTTGAAAAGTTTGGGATGAGCCAGTGTAAACCCTGTACAACTCGATCACAAAATCGGAAGAGCTTGATGATGAAAACAAAAATAAACACGAGGAAGTGAAATTTCCTTACAGATCAGCAGTTGGTGCATTGATGTACTTGATGACGGGAACAAGACCAGATATTGCATATGCAGTTAGAGTAGCATCCAGAAGTTTGGACAATACACTAATAGCCTACAGTGATGCAGATCATGGAGGAGATAAATCTAGTGGAGGATCGACGTCAGGTGTAATCTGTAAGTTTGGAGGAAGCGTGATCAGTTGGTTTAGCCAACGTCAACCCTCAGTTGCGATTTAAACTACAGAAGCAAAAATTGATGCCGCAAGTGAAGCAGCTCGTGAAGTGGCTCAAACAATTGTTGAGCGACATTGTAGATCTAAAAAAAAGCCAGAAATTTTTGTCGACAATGAAGCAGCGATTCGTTTAGCACATAATCCAGAACTTCACACAAGAACAAAGCATATCCACATTAGACATTTTTTGTCAGAGAAAAGGTTGCAGAAGAAGTTTCAGTTGAACGAATTGCGACAGAACTTCAAGTTGCAGATGCTCTGACAAAGCCAATGGTAGGACTAAGACTTAAGAATCTGATGTGTGTGATGGGTCTTCAGAACATTTATGTTAAGTTCATCTAATGTTTTTGAATAAAATGAAGTGTTAAGTTTTATGTTTTATTTTAAAACATTAAGATATACATACATCTATCTTCTTTTGGCTAAAAGTTCTATACTTTGTATGTAAATTCACTTTTTGTTGTTCCGGTTGATAATAAACGAGTCAAAAACGTTTCTAAGTTTATTTTCTTTTAATGTCTTTCAATATTATATTAATATCAATTAATTAAACGATATACGTTACAAGAAATTTAACAGTATGTAAAGACACTCAACTAACTACTAACATGCGAGTATTTTTGCAAAAAGATGAAACTGCGAATGTGTTTGCGAAGCAGTTGTTAGACATTGGAAATAATAAAGTTGCAGTAGACATCTCGACTGGATTCATCACGTTACACAGATTTCTGTCACATCACATACTCAAAAGAGGAGTTTAATCAGCGTGTTTTCCCAGATATAGCGCAAAAGTTCAATAATCATAATTGCCTGGGTGAACGATCAATATTGGCGGCGAAAAATAAAGATGTCGAAAATCTTAATGTGACTATTTAGAGTTTTTTTTTCAGGACAGTTGGTTTTCTTTAAATCAATCGACGCCGTTATGAAACAGGATGACTTAGTCAACTATCCCACAGAGTTTTTAAATTTACTGGCATTGTCTGGATTACCACCTCACAATTTGCACATAAAAACAGGGTCAGTTGTCATCAAGCAGCGTAACATTAATCAACCTCGACTGTACAATGCATTATTCACATTGCATATCATATACATGGATCTCTTTGCATTTCAACCTAGTCACCGCAACGGCAAGACCAGGCGCCTTTAACCATTGAGCCATCACACGTATTTTTGTGATGCGTCGTTAGCACGCATTCATATACGCTGTTGACATGTTGTTAATTTCTCTGAACTTTGGAAGAGTGTAACAGACCTTTAAACTTCAACTGTCATACGGAATTTATTGAAATAGTAATTACCAGAGCCTAAACATATTGAACAAGATATGATTGACAACTGGAGTGACGAAAATAATGCACAATTCCCATCTCTGTAAATTTAACATCCAGTGGCGGATCTAGACAACTTTGACGAGAGGGGGGGGGCAAATTTTTTAAAAGTTTAATTTTTTTTCAAATTTGGACAGGGTTAGGGTTTGTGGTAGAGTTGCCAAAATTAAGCTTTCGACCATTTTTTGATATAAAATGGTGTTTTTTATGCAAAAGCTGAGTTCTTTTAATAAATATACAGCTCACAACTGGGTGATGGTCTCTCCGGCCTTTCCCCAAGATCCGCCACTGAATGTATAATACATATACATTCAGTGGCGGATCTTGTACATTCAGTACTGTATTTTAATAGCGCTCTGAAATTCCCCTGATTGTTATCAGATTTGAGACCTAATGCACCGTCATCCCGGTGTCCACGCAAAGCAAAATTCTCTTTCGCAAAGTTTAATAGTTTCAATAATAGTGTTAAGCAATTTTCAATTTTGCTCTATTTTTGTGGAAAGAGCGGAGTTTGATAACTCTAAAACATTAGTTTTATTTTTAATCAAACTCAGAAACATTTTTGATTTTTCTGTGGCCTCTCTATGAAAAGATGTCGCTTGATGACAGCGACATTGATCTAAAGCTGATTTATAACGATTTAAACGATTCCCTTTTCAGCCTTTGATGCACCTCTGTCAGCCACTGTCAAAAAGTCTTTTTATTTTTTAAAATAAAACACTTTAATAACTTCAAAAATTGTAAAATTGAGTAAGTTTAACAAAATTAAGTATAAAATTAAATAGAAGCAAGTTTAAATAGAAAGGCATTGTGCATCTGGATCGTTAACAAAGTAACAAGTCTACAACAAAAATGATTCGCTAAGCTGAATGTCAATTAAACAGTTGTCTCTACAGATTTGATTAAAAGGTTTACGTTCATAAACATTTGTAAGTAAAAATGAAATTCGTATATCAAAGAGCTGTTCAAATTTATGAAAATTCAAAAGCTTTGTTTCCACTTTTTTTAGTGCTGTCATCATAAGATGGCAAATTATTTTGTTGTGAACCAATGAAAGATTGGTCATAGGGTGGAACCACATCCGTTGATGGAACTGGTCCAACCGCCTCTGGATTATATGCGGCTCCAGAATTATATGCGGCTCCAGGATTATATGTCGATCCAGGATTATATGTCGATCCAGGGTTATAAGGTGCTGCAAGGTTATAGGGTGCTAAGGCAGAACCGTAAGGCGCAATCATCAAATTCTGGTGACGCACTGTTGAAGAAGTTATCATCAAATTATTTGATTGAAACATAAATATCAAATTTTATTTAATATATTCAAACAATGAGTCTTCGAGATTTAAAATCATAATAATAGAAAAATAATTAGACCAATGGTACCAATGGGAATTACTTGAATTGAAACACTATAAAGTAAAAAACAATCAAACCAATTGGAATAAAAGTAACTCTCTGAGTGGCGGGATCGTACACTTGGATGAATGTTTCCTTAGCATTTTTTAAAATATTATTGTTGATAATAAAGAAAGTTTAATCTTAATTGTGAATGTTGGTAAAAACTTTAATAAATAAACTATAAGTTGAAGAGAAACCGTACTTTTTTCCTACAACAGCAAACTGCTCTGCAGCAGAGTGCAGAGCATACAATGGCGACGACAGCTTCAACGCATGATAATATAGCCATGATAGCAGATATGGCAATTATAGAATCATTCCAGTTGTTAGAATGATAAGGCTGAAAATAGAAAAACAATAATAAAAATAATGAAAATCTTGGGATATTCAGAAAAACACAAAAAAATGTCCTCACACGATATTGGTTATATCCTCTGTAATAGTCATATTCGTAATAGTATCTTGGGATTGTTGTGGCATAAATGATCCCAAACGAAAGGCTGCATGGAGTCAAGACAGCAGCAATAATGCACATTACCATGAATGATATTATCTGTTAGAGAACAAAGACTTAATAGTTTAATGGTTAAAAACAGGTAAATATCCACAATTCACCACAGCATGTGTACAAATATAGAAGTGTCTTAATAACACAACGTTACAAAGAATGAAAAGATATATATTTTTTATTTATTTCTAGATGACCCTTCTCATATCTCAAAAGTAAGCATAAGTTCATCTTTGAAAAATATGATAAGTTTTTTTGAGATAAATTTATACATACATACATACATATATATATATATATATATATATATATATATATATATATATATATATATATATATATTTAGGAACGAGGTTTTCATTAATAGATATTTTGTTAAATTTATTTGCCCATTTTGCATTTATCAACTTTTTTATTATGGACTCAACACAGCGTAGTTTTTGACATTCGTAATCTTAGTTATGCATTTAATTTGTGTAGAATATACTTAGCGTTCCATATTTTATACTAGTGATTACACCACATTCATCACACACGGATTGTTTTTTTCCTATTCTTCCAACTTTCCAGTTTTATTTTCATTTATTTTACCTTTTATTAATTAGTAACTTTTATTTAATTTCATGTTTTAGTATTAATTTAACTTTTAGGTTACATCCTTCGCAAGGTACCATTTTAACTTCACTTTCAATTCCAATTTTATTTTTAATATCTTATCTATCATGTCCGCTAAATAATTTACATAATTCGTTTAATTTTCATTTATTTTAATTAAATTTCTTATATTTCATTGGTTTTAGGCTCTGATGATGGCTACTTAGCCGAAACAACGTTGTCAGCTTCTAATATGTCACAATTTCACAATAAATACGAATGTCAAAAACTACGCTGTGTTGAGTCCATAATAAAAAAGTTGATAAATACAAAATGGGCAAATAAATTTAACAATAAATATATATATATATATATTTATATATATATATATTGGATTAAGATTGTTAGGAATGCAATTATAGATGAAAATCACAGCATGTTCAGCGTTAGTTAACTTCCTATTTAACTTTTCGATTTTTGTAACGGTTGATCGTAAATCATTTTCAACAACAATGCAACCTAAAATAGATCTCTAATTTCTCCGATTTTACTGGATTTCTCTTCACGCGGCAATTCTTACCCAAATGATCGGCGAACTCAAACGAAAAGAGAGATAACAAATTTTCAAAGATAATAAAAATTAACATAGAATTTCAAAAGACGAAATATTATCTGAATTTTTTTTTTCTGAATTTGACAAAAATATTTTCTTTTAAATTATTAGCATCGAATCGTTATTTATTTCGTTACGGTTTTCGGTTTCGGCTAAACTAGCAAACAATATTTCGATTCGGTTACGGTTTTTGTTCCGAGCAAAATTTCGGTTTTTAACGGTTTCGGTTCAGCTCCGGTTCGATGCCCTGGTATAAACATACGAGCCCGGGAAGAAAGGCAGAAAAAAAACGATAATTCTGTTGGTGAGATATTACAAAAGCTGGTCAGTTTTCTTTAACGTAAACTAATTAATATATCTCGAGTAGGTTGGTGGTTGTTTTAGTAGAAAATAGTTACGTTAAGTTGGTGTAAACGTCGGTAACCTTTGGTGGATAAAATTTACGTTAGTGGTAGTAATGTGGAGCGGTGATAGCATTAACGTTGGTAGTAACAATTGTAAACGTTGGGCAGAAAAGAACGGTGTCGGTTCCAAGTCTGCAGATGCGCACTCACCAAACAGTACAGTCAACAAACAGGAGACTTAGCAACATTCACGCACACTCAACACACACTCAACCTGTTGGACTTGTTCAAGTCAGCAGTAGACCCAGTAACAATTCAACCAAATTACGACCGTCGTCGCCGCCGAACGTCCGACATCAACGTCTCAGCCGGCGGCAACCCTTGAAGTCACGACTACATAAAGCAAACTTTCACTTACACTCGTAGAAACATTTAAATTTTTGTTTTTGGACCTGTTGTAAACCAATACATACGAATATACTACTTCAACCAAAGAACTTGTGATGAAAAACAACTGCACTAGTAAACCGGAATCAATAATGGATCTTAGCTACCTAATATATTTGTTCAAATGTAATATTGGTAAGTGTGGGCATTATTGGACGAAGTTGAAGATTGCAAAACTTATTAAATGAGCGTTAAGTATTCACTTTGAACAAACAAGGAATCAACAAAGTAGGGTAGCAACTCAGTATATATGTATGTATGTATATATATATGTATGTATGTATGTATATATATATATATATATATATATATATATATATATATATTTTACAATATTCTATAAATTCTACCGAATGTATAGAGTAGTTCGTTTATAGTTCGTTTTTTCGATTTTTCTCACTAAAGTTTTTTTAAAGTTTATATATATATATATATATATATATATATATATATATATATATATATATATATGTTGGTAATAGACCATAATTTTTACAATATTCTATAAATTCTACCGAATGTTTGGCGTTAATATGTTTGTAGTTCGTTTTTTTGATTTTTCTCACTGAAGTTTTTTAGTGAACGTTTAGTTTATTAAAATTCAAAATAAACTTATTTTCCGAATTCATGCTGCAAATAAGGGCATATTTCGATTTCGAATGAATCATCATCAGTGCGGTTGATGTTTATATAGAGAAATATTGACTTTGTCAAAATGAACTTAGATGGAAATTAGGTGTCAGGTTTCTTTATTGGCTGGTCACCTACTTTGGTCTCCATTTCTTCATCGATAGCATCATATTCTTCTTTGTCACTATTTACAATGCTAGTTTTTATTATTTCTTTGTTTTCATTGTTGGTTAAGCGTCAGGTTGGGAGTGAGGTTGTCATTTTTTGTTGTATATTTATTTTTGGTTTATTGATGCCAATTAGGACTGCTTCTGCAATTTTAAGATGCGTGTAGTGCTGTTCTGGTATATTACTTTGGTGTTGCTGTCGAGGATTTCACGGCTAATAATGATTGAGTGTGTTGAGTCCAAATGAGATTTGATAGCACCACTCTGTTTATGCATCGTAAGCCTTCTAGTCAGTGAGGTAGTAGTAATCCCGATATATGAGTCATGGTGACGTGCATAGCCGTCAAAGGGGCAATTAAATTCATATATTACGTGATTACGCTTTAACACAGAGTTATCTCTAGGACTACAGTTGTTTTTCAGTATTAGGTGAGACGTCTTTTTATTGTTGTAATAAATTCGGAGTTTAACTTCACTATTTGGGTTGGTTGGTGTGACATTTTTATTGATGATATTTTTAAGAATAGCTTCATCTACTTTGTAAATACTTAATAAACTAAACGTTCACCAAAAAACTTTAGTGAGAAAAATCGAAAAAACGAACTACAAACATGTTAGCGCCAAACATTCGGTAGAATTTATAAAAAATTGTAAAATATATATTTCATTCATTTCATTTTCAAAGTTTTATTCATAATCAACAACATATCAAATAAGTGAATAAATGTTATGAAGTTGAATATGCGGAGACCGAATAAGACTTTTTGTCTTGTGGTGGCCTCCGCAGGTAGATACATGAATAGTTAATGGAATAAAATAAGGAAAATAACTGAAGCAGAAAGATAATTGAAGATAAATAAGTAAATGTTCGTGTCATTCATATATAGACATATAACTATGTTCGCTCAGTACATATATAAACACATAAATGTTTAACCATTCATAAAGACCATTCATCCGCATCATTTGTTCTAACGTATTCTTAATATAGTATTAGATGGTGGAGTCGAGATCCAGTGTCAATAAAAAAGCACGGAATTTTGACTTGAAATGTTGTAGGTTTATGATGGCTCTTAGATGAGGAGGTACAAGTTCTGTCCAAATTTTAGGACCTGTTATTTTTATGCTTGTCTGGATTAATTTGAGGCGAGATTTGTAGATATAGAAGAGAGGGGTGTGTCTAGTGGTTGTAGATTGGACGGAGTTACTTAATGTGTAAAAGTTGATAAAGTGAGGTGAGAGAATATTGTTGATAAATTTAAAAACGAATAAGGCAGAGTAGTAAAGACAGATGAAGTTAAGTGGTAAAAATTTTGCTAGGATGAAGAAGGGTTTAGTATGGGAATCAGGTTTGAGGTTAAAAATTAAACGTATTGATCTTTTTTGAGAGAGTATTAGGTTATTCAGATGGCTTTTTGGACTATTTCCCCATAGTGTGATGCAGTAGGTTAGATAAGGGTAGATGAATGTGTAATAAAGCGTGCGAAGAGCAGAAAGAGAGAGTTTATATTTGATTTTGTAGAAGATGCCTGTGAGTTTGTTGATTTTGTTGATATATATATATATATATATATATATATATATATATATATATATATATATATATATATATATATATATATACATACAATGATTTCACTTATGCCTGAGGGTTTTAAAGATTTTTATACCTGCTATGCTTACCGATGCATGTTATTGTTTAAATTAGTCGCTGAGATCATTTTAACGTTTCATTTTCAAATTTTTGAAAATTTCATTTCATTGAATTGGTCCTGGGTACGACATAAAACTGCATTCACGCTGCCTTGCGTGCTTTCGAGCGAAAGGCTAGGCCCATCGCTTATAACTGGTGGTTGTCGTCAGGATGGGTGTCCGGATGTAAAAACTTTCCCCCAAATTATTCCTATGCCATCACAAAGAAAAACAACGGCCCCTAGTCCCCAACAGGCCTTAGGTGGTCAAGGGGTGCCAAGATTCCCTGGGAAGTATGCAATAGCGGAGGGATGTTGCAGAAAATTTCAGAATGGCCCCTCTATGGTACTTAGACTTGAAACGCTCAATGTTTGATCACAGACTGGCCGCAGCATGGAAATCGCAGAAATGCTCGAGCGTAGAAGGATTGACATCAGCTGCCTTCAGGAAACCCGATGGAAACCGAATGGTGTCTGTCATGTCAACTCAGACAAAGAAAAATATAAACTATTCTGGAATGGTCAAAAGACGGCCAAAAATGGTGTTGGAATTTTTGTCAGAGGACCGCTAGCCCAAGAAGTACTGGATATTAAAAGGATTAATTCCCGTCTCATGTGGATCAAGCTTCGCATAGAAAAGCAAACAATGATTATTTTTTTCTGCATACGCACCACAGACAGGCGAATCAGAAGAGATGAAAAATGACTTCTGGACTGCATTCTCTGACACCATCTCAACAATACCAAAATCTGAAATAATCCTGATTGGAGGCGATCTCAATGGCCACGTTGGAGAGAAAACAGATGGTTTTGACAACGTACATGGCGGTTTTGGCTATGGAAAACGGAATGAAGATGGCAACCGCATCCTTGAGTTTGCTGAAAGTCACGGGTTTTGTTTACTGAATACATATTTTAGAAAGAGGTTGGAACATCTCATAACATACAAAAGTGGACCATCAGCCACGCAAATTGATTTCTTCGTTGTCAAGCAACAACACCGAAGGCTATTCAAAAACGTCAAAGTTATACCTGGCGAATCATGTGTCGCCCAACATAGACTCCTTGTGGCAGACCTGGTTGTCGAACTGTCAAAACATAAGTCTAAACAAATGCCTCGGAGAATCAAAACGTGGAAGCTGAAAAGCAATGTTCATCGAGAAAAATTTCAACAGATTGTCGCCACACAGTTAGACCACCAATCGCAAGCCAGTACAGATTGGAGTACATACAAAACTGTTTTGATGAACGCTGCAACTACAGTTTGTGGGAAAACTGGTACAAAACGTCAGCATGAACGGGACACTTGGTGGTGGAATGACAGTAAACAAAATGCAATAGCTGAAAAGAAAGTTGCATACAAGCAATGGCAAAAATTGGTCTGTTGATGACCAAAAAATTTTCTGTGAGAAGAACAACTATGCAAGACGTCAAGTTGCACTGGCTCGGACAGATCAATGCAAAGAGTGGCTCACTAAAAGCAAAGGTGAACAAATGAAATCTCTGTATCGTATAGCAAAACAAGCAAAGCGTACGAAAAAAGACATAGTTGGTGCCTCATGTATTAAAAATGACAAAAATGAGATGGTTCTTGAATAAGATGAGATCAAGCTACAGTGGAGAGAATACTTCAACCGTCTGTTAAACGAAACAAATCCCATCAATGTTAACTTTGACGCTCCACTCATCGAAGGTCCGATTCCAGACATCACTGTAGAGGAGCTTACAGAAGCTCTGAAAGCTATGAAGGATGGAAAGGCAGCAGGGCCCTCTGGACTCACAAATGACATTATCAAAGCATCTGGTACTGCAGGTATCCAAACGTTACTACAACTTTGCCATAACTTCTCTTGCAGATGTTAAGTACCTGGCACACGTCCCAAAGGCCGTCCAAAGAAGTCCTGGTCGCAAACAATCGAGCAAAACATGAAAGCTCTAAATTTAAATGAAATAGATACAAAAAGTTGATGGCAAAGAAAACAACGTCCTACCTCGGGAAACCGGGTCTCTGGACGCAAAACGAAGATTGATTGATTGATCGATATATATATATATATATATATATATATATATATATATATATATATATATATATATATATTTTACAATATTCTATAAATTCTACCGAATGTTTGGCGTTAATATGTTTGTAGTTCGTTTTTTCGATTTTTCTCACTAAAGTTTTTTGGTGAACGTTTAGTTTATTAAAATTCAAAATAAACTTATTTTTCGAATTCATGCTGCAAATAAGGCCATATTTCGATTCCGAATGAATCATCGTCAGTGCTCCTTGTTGTATATATAGGGAAATATTGACTTTGTCAAGATTAACTTTGACGTTGTAAAAATTAACTTTGGTGTTGTAAAATTGAACTTTGATGCAAATTAGGTGTCAGGTTTCTTAATTGGCTGGTCATCTTCTTTGGTCTCCTTTTCTTCATCGATAGCATCATATTCTTCTTTGTCACTATTTACGATGATAGTTTTTATTACTTCTTTGTTTCCGTTGTTGGTTAAGCGCCGGGTTGGAAGTGAGGTTGTCATTTTTTTGTTGTATATTTATTTTTGGTTTATTGATGTCGATAATGGTTTACCAGTAATATATATATATATATATATATTTATACATATATATATATATATACACACATAGATTTGTGTCAGTGTCGTGTACATACAATAATATTCGAAAATAACAACCAGTCCTTTTTTGGGGTTTCTACTTGACAGAAATCCTAACAAACCAGGAATGAAATACTGAAATTTTTAAATAATAAATCAAACTTTTTGATAATTATTAAAATTGTTTCATTAAATGAAGAGCAATTAAATAAATAAACATTAAATTTTGTTAATAAAATTGAAAAAAGAATGTTAAAAACAGTAAAACGTTAAACCAACCATTACTCCACACCATATTCCATATCCTAAAGACGTCAAATTTCCTCTGGTCAGATAAACAAGTTCAATAATTCCACAAATAATAAAAATTACTCCAACTCCAATTTGAACCAACCCAAGGGTGGCAATAGCTTTTTTTGGATATTTGAGAGATGCGTTAGTGGTGATGATGGGATGAGAAGAAGGGTTAGAGGCAATAATAGTGGGATGATTCAAAGGCAGAATTGCTGGATGTGATGAATTAGATTGAGAAAACATAATGCGAAATTTTCTTAACTTGCAGGATGTTTATATATTTTCAAAAAATGCGGCAGCTTTTAACAGCCAATTTTATACACTTGAACACACAGCAGAATGACATCTAATCTGAAAACAAACATGGGAATAAATAAAAAAATGTAAATGTTTATCATTGTACACACACACACACAAACACACACACATATATATATATATATATATATATATATATATATATATATATATATATATATATATATATATAATTGAGTTGTGTTATCTTAAACCTTATTCGTCTGGCCTAACGCGGGTAATGGTTTACCAATCATATATATATACTAATAAATAGTCAACGGAGACGTTTGACGCTTTTTTAGATCAATCCTTTCGGCTTTGCGCAAACTGGCTAATACCGCTCTAACTTCGTCCCAGAGTGTGTCTAGGCCAACTCGTTCTTCTGCGGCAGCATTCTTCTAATGGTTCCTTAGTCGTTTTTTCTACCATTTTACCAGATCTACTCGTTTTGTCTTCTTGATTTTTGTACTGCTGGCTTTCCAACCTTTCCGTTGTAACCGAAGGTTGCCACACATTTTTCATACAGGACATCCGTAAAATATTATGTTATAACCAATGATAAAATTGCACTATATTATTTATTATTTGATCATTGTTATCTATGCTATATTTGTAATCTTTGGATGAAGGATTGTAAAGAACTATTGAATCTATGCTAAAAATCAAGACTGTGTATATGTCCTGCCTAGTCAGGTTTAGTCGGGTTTCCAGCAGAGAAAGCAAAGTCGTAAATTTGATTTATATAGTTACTTGGATTAGTTTATTGTTTCAATAATGTTGGCATTCAAATAACGTTCAACAAAATTTGCGTTTGAAGTAGTTGTGTTTAAATATCGGAAATCTTGAATCTACGGGATAACGATAATTTGACGATCGTTTGAAGCTCAACACTGTTGATGGAAATATAAAGATCATTTAAGTTATAAAATTGGTGTTGGAAGTTACGAGCGTCAAACGTAACAATATGTAAATATGGCTTGTATGTGAATAAATTCAATTGATTTTACGTAGCAGTTTTTGATCGGTGCCCTTCGAAATGTGAGGAGCAATAAGAAGCATTTTCGTTATAATTTACATTTTGCTATAGAAGAGGTAAAAATGCTGTTCAAGCTAGAAAGAAATTAACCGATGTATATGGAAAAGATGTGTGGACAATACTGAATAATGCACTTCAACAGAAAAAAACAGAATTAATCAACAGACAAGGTGTAGTGTTCTACCAAGATAATGCGAGACCTCATAAAAGTTTGGTCACTCGCCAAAAGCTTTTACAGCCTGGATGGGATGTACTGCCACACCTACCATATTCTCCAGACCTGGCCCCTTCGGATTATTATTTGTTCCAGTCACTGCAAAATTTTTTGGAGGTAAAACCTTTACCTCAAATGAACACGTCAAAAATCACATGGATTAGTTCTTTGCCAGGAAAAACCAAAAATTTAATGAGCGTGGAATCATGCTACTACTAGAAAGGCAAAAGGTGTTGGATCAGAATGACCAACAAATAATTGAATTAAATATTTATTCATTATACGAAGATCGTCTTTCATTTTCACCACAAAAAAAAACAACAGATTGTTAGCACCCATGGCTGTAAAACGGAATAAATACTGAAAGCTATCAGCGGCACCTCCTATGGTCAAGACAAGGAGACAATTCTGCAAGTCTACAAATCCATAGGAAGGCCAATGAAAAAATATGCTTGCCCCACCTCACTTACATCAGACTCCAACCTCGACCGTTTACAGCACACTGAGAATACCGCCTTGCGCATCACAACTGGCTGTCATAAAGCCACCTCGGAGAAACATCTACTCTCCGAATGCCAAATGCTCTCGATAATACAACAGATATTATAGATCTCCTCTCCTCACAATTTATCGCACAATGCTACGACCCTCAACATCCATGCCATGTTCTCGTGACCCAACTCGCGAGAAATGAAAACCATGCTGACGTCAAAATTGACCTCAACAGTAAAATCCGTCATACCATGTTCGAAAGCCATGCTACACTAAAAGCAGTTATAAAGTCACTACATAGAACGGCTGCTAAGTCCGCCACCGAATCATACAACGCTCCCGTACTACTTAATGAATGGATGGCCTTAACCAATGCCCTCAACAGATAGCTCAGAGGAAACCCTACCCCGAACAACAAGAATAACTCTGGCTCAACTTCGATCTGGCCATTGTATCTTCTTCGGCAGCTAAGAGAATATATATATATATATATATATATATATATATATATATATATATATATATATATATTATTGATGGGAATCACAGCTGTTCGGCGTTAGTTAACTTTTCGATTTATCTAACGTTCAATGAAGAAGAAAGTGAAATAACGAGGGAAGAAATTACAAGAGCAATGAATAAAACGAAGAACAACAAAAGAACAGGGAAGAATGGCATTCCGATAGAATTGATAAGAGCAGGAGGACAAGTCGGGTGTAAAGAAATTTACACAATCTGTCAAGAAATTTGGGAAAGTGGTAAGTTCTGGTTATGCTGCCGAAAAAGGGAGACTAAAAAGACTGTAATAATTACAGATCAATTGCACTAATTCCTCACGTATGTAAGATCATGCTGACCATCATAAAAGAACGACTGAAAAAGGCGTGAAGAACAAGTAGGCTTCAGAAAGAACAGAAGCACGATCCAACAAATTCCGATGTTGAGACTGCTGATGGAAGATGCAAAAAGTAGCGGTCAGACAATCTACCATTGCTTTGTTGATTTTAAGAAAACGTTTGATTCTGTCTGGCATGAACAAAATTGGGATCTTTTGGACACATTTGTAGAATGAGAGAAGACCGATTGATTAAGATGGTACTAATGAGGAAAAGAGATTGGAAGAAAAAAGTTGGTAGACCTGCAAAGAAATGGATAGATGACATTACTGAATGGACTGGTGTTGGTATTCTGAATTCAATAAAACTGGCCAAAGATAGAAAAGGTTTTTAAAAATGAAAAAAAGAAAAAAGCATGGTACACCATCGGCCTCGACGGTCCCCTGATGAACAAAGGAAGATCATCGATTGATTGATTGAACATTTGATCGTAAATATCATTTACAAGTTTCTTGAGTTCAAAACCAAAATTTTTGTTTATTTTATGCATGATTGAGCAAAAAAGCTTTTTCGGTATTCCTGTACCATCTTGTACCGAATTGATACGCTGTGTATGTGACCAGATGCTCAAATATACATATACTGTATCTCTACTTTACTTTGTTGATTCCTTGTTTGCTCAAAGTAAATACTTAACGCTCATTTAATTAGTTTTACAATCTTCAATTTCGTTTAATATGACACTTCTACGATGATTCCTCTGCTTCTAAATTACTTAGTAGGAAGGATTTCATTTGCACGTTGTTGAATACTTATTATCGGATGTCTTTGTTCTATGAGTATTGATTCGGCTAGTCGAAAATTATAATGTTTTTATTGTAATGTAAGATTTTAACATTGTGGTCCAAGATTTGTCTAGTAATTTTAGTTTTGTGTTTCTATTTCATGTGATTCTTAATATATATATATATATATATATATCAAATCAAATCACTTTTATTCAATCAAACAAAACAAAAGCATGAATGATTCGGAGACCAAAAAAAGAAAATTAATTCTTGTGGGCTCGGCCACCGTGCAGCTCAAAATTGCTTCTCAATGATAAAATAAAATTGTCAATAGGAGAAAATGTATCAATGTTAATGAAATATGTACACACTTATATACATATATATACATATACATTATTATCCTTGAAAAACAGAACTTTTCGTAATTAAAAAATTTTTCAGTTTATTTTTAAAAAGATGCAAAGTGTTACAATCTTTAATTTCTTGTGGAATCGTCTCCCATATTCCTGGGCCGGTATGTTTCAAACTCATGCAAAGTACTTTAATTCTGGCTGGTGGAGCATAGAAAAGTGGCGTGTGGCGTGTAATTCTTGCTTGAATGGAAGTTCCAAAAGTGAAAAAGTTTCTAAAAAATGCCGGCAATTGCTGACGTAGAAATCTAAAAATGAATGTTGCAACGTGGTAGATGAACAAGTTTTTGATGTTGAGTATTTTCATCTCGAGATAATATTCACTTGTGTGACAATGAGGATGAAGATTTTTAAATATTCTGAT